TTTCATCTATTATTATTTGTTACATAATATCAATTAAAAAATTACATAAAATAAATTTTATTTTATGTATATCGTTATTGTGACAAAACAGAATACATAACAATATTTAATATATAAATTATCATTTGATTTTAAGACGTTTAATTGAATTCACTGAATATGAACAATTATAAAATTATTCAATTAGAAAACAATAAATTAATCATTTCCCGTACAAAGATGATAACATGATAGTTATTAAAATTGGTCTAGTTCTTGATTCTTATATTTTGTTTGGTGTCTATGAAATAAATAACATTTTTGAAAAATATTTTTAAATTTTTTTACAGTGTTTAGATGAAACTGTGTAAATATTTTTCAATAGTTGATAATTTTTTTTAAAATTATTTATTTTGAATATTGAATACAATAAATAACCTTATTTATTAGAAAAGAATTAATATTATTATATTTAAAATATCAGAATAATTTATTTAATATTATTTATGTCAATATTATTATTAAAATATTATTTCTGTAATTTTATAAATAAAATATTAATATTATTATATTTTTATTAAAATAAAACACTATAAATCATGTTAATCAGCTATTAAAATAAGAGTATTCAATTATATTATTATAATATTTAAAATAGTATAATATATTATATTATTAATAAATATATGTTAAAAATAATATTTTTATTAAAATTATATTAAAATAATATATTAATATTAAATAGAAAAATAATCTTAATTTGAGTGTTTATGATTTGAAGTGAAAAGTTAAAAAAATGACTGAAATTTTTTTAAAATGACTTGCTAATTTTTTTTTAAAAAAAATTCAGAAAACATAAACATGAAAGTAAATAAAAGTATGAGTGTTATTGAAATAGAGAAAATTATATATACTCTTATTGATCTTACTTGTTACTGAAATTAATTAAATAGAAGTAAAACCAAACTCCCGTTTATTTGCATAATTACTATATAATAATTACCATAAAAGTTTAAACAGATTTGTTTGATGACATAAAGGAACGGGTAGACGAATAATATTCATTTGCAGAAAAGGAAAGCCTATTGAGATGTTCGTATGTACAAAAGATTGGTCATCTTGTGAGTTTTGATAAATAGATGGATTTTACATTTGAACCAAAATAAGGTGAGCATGCACCTCTAATCAAATGGATCGATTCGGGGGTCGTGTTCGCTTGCCATTGCCATTCCGGTGCAAAGACATGTTGGACACATCACCTGCCGGAAGTTACAAAAAGAAACGGTTATGAACAGACGTACATGCTATTGATGTCAAAGAATGCTATATCCGGCAAAGATAGTTATATAATGAAACACCATTAGATTTCCCGGTTGATATGCAGCACAAGTAAACAAATCACTGAGACTACATACTTTTAGATGACTAACCTTTCCGGATCCCGAACAGTTTGAACATCTTTCGGATTTGGGGGATGATAAAGGCCGGTCTCCGCGGTTTACGGTGGAGACTGGTTCAGTAAGAACAATCGATCCAGTAGTTGAGCAGCGAGCACAAGCAAGGTATCCTGCATTTACCAGTTCATATAGACCTATCAAATCTCAACTTGGAAGAACACATACCTGAAGTGGCTAGAACTGTAATGATCTGACTATAATGACTTGAGCTCAAAACAACCCCAACTTGAAATGACAGTAATCCAAAATTGATCCAAAACCCAAAAGACCAGAACTGAAACCGAAATGATCCAAAAATTCTTAATATCCGCATGGACTGATCTAAATTGACCCAGCCCAAAACTAACCCAACTCGTCCAATTGACAGCTCTAGGTGAATAAGATACCGTATATGGAATATAGAAGGGCTGGAAAAGAGGGAAGTCTAAAGAATATACCTGTTCCAAGACAGTACTTGCATCGTTTATGCTCCTGCTGTTTAACATTGTTTATTTCAACTACCATCAAGGCTGAGATTACCCCTACAGCTCCTCCAGAGAAGGATGCTACTATAGGATCGACCTGACTGCATTTATCACGAACAGAACAGTGTTTAATGATACTGAAGTGAAACAAAATTGAATCCACAGCTTTAACAAATTGAAAACAACAAACAGATGCCACTTCTTTTGGAAGCGGACTTCTCTAAGAAATTAATTCCCCATTAATAATTCTAAGAAAATATCGTAAATTTCATAAGTTTGGTTTGTGACAATTGCAGCTGTCATTCTTATCTAGAGGTATAACCAAAAGAAGTTGTATAAGGAAATCAAAAGGACATCAACTTTATCATGGTAAACAAGATAACAATCAAGCAACAGAGCCCAAATTGTGCAAAATAATAAAACGATGATTCACTACAAACCAAGAAGATTGATCATACCTCAACTGCATTGGCAGATGTACACTACCGATGAAATCTGCATATGACGTGCCTCCTAGTCCGAGCTTAAGCTCCAGCTAGGATATGGAAAGAGAAAGAAATAGGATGTGTAAGGCAAAAGAATGCAACTTCAAAAACCATGTCTAATTCTATTCTGCGCGTATTCATATTAAAATAACATAGCATGTCCATCAGCAAATTCCAAACGAGACTCTTTTACTAAAAGGGAATTTCCGCACTAGTGAGGCAAACAATGTAAATGATTATTCCCTTCAAATGCTTTATCCTCTCAAGAGAACACATTCCATTCATTCTATTCCTAAAAGCACAACTGCCCAACCAACAACATCAACCCGAGAGAGTAGATCACGAGTGACTTACAGTGGGTGCCAGAAGTCCACCAAAAATAATAATCCCAACAATAAGAGAATAACAAGTCACATAATAAACCTTGAGGTTCGACGAGGTCTGCAAGTGAAATACAAGATCAAATATATATAATTGTACATTGATTGACTTCAGTTTAATGATAACAATTCCGTTCATCTAAAAAAAGCAAAAAATTAAGTTGATTGGCGAAACAAATACTTAAACAAAAATCTCACCAATGGAGGAAGAAATGGGATGAATGATGGAAAATTAGGAAGATCACTTTCTTGCTCTTCCTTGCAAATACCAAGTTCAGCACACTTAATTCTTTGTTGTATCCTTAACCTCCGAACCTACAAAAATATTTGGGATTTCTCATAAATGAGCCTTTGCTACTTGGTGAGAACATGCAGGAACTTTCCAAAACTCAAGTAAATAAAAAAAAATCTAATTTAGAAGAAACTCAGTGATTTGACCTCTTCCATTTGGAGAAAGATTTTGTTTCGTCGACTTTGAATATTATCCTCAATTTCTTGCAGTTCCATTGTGGCGAAATCCTGGATTGTTTCAGGCCCTTCTATGATGCAAAATCTGAATCATATAATCCTAAGCTTTTGAAATTCATACTTTGATACTTTTCAAACATAAACGAATCCGATCTTAACTAATTTAGCTTTTCATAGCTCAAATATACATAACAAATGAAATTCAAATTTCAATTCCATTAAGAAATAAAGAAATTACCCGGCGGCAGTTTTATCTGCAGTAGAATCAGAATCAACAGACGGCGCGGAGAAAGAGGAATCGGGATCAGTAGCCATAGATCGCCATCTGGAATTCAATTTGCGCTTCGTATGAACGAATCTACGACTCAAAGGAGGAGGCGAAGGCTTTACCGTACAAGAAACCACCAATACTCGACTCAAACAGACCATCCTCGAGAAGAAGAAAGATGTTCGACCTTGATTTTCACTTTCTGCTCTCAATTAAATCTCATATCCAGTTGTGTGATTTTCCTAATCGAATTACAGAGAGATCGTAGAAGACGCGGAAGCATTAAATCTTGATGCAAACGTGAATGGCGAAGATGAATCGGAGGCCGGTAGTGCGTCCAATTACGTGGAATCATAAGTATACCTGATTTTCTTTTTATGGATATTTTAGTTCCTTTGACAGTGACTTCCATTTTTGTTTGTTTGTTCGTTCAAATTAATGGATAAACTTTTCCAGATGAGGAATAAGAAAGAAATTATTGAAAACGAGGTAAATTGAAATTCCATCACTCAACTTTTTTCTTAATCTCATTCTAGTCAATAAAGTTTTAAAAAATTAATTTACTCACTTAAATTTTGATTTGTTCTCATTTTAGTCATTGAAACCTTAAATCATAAATGACAGTGTGACATTGCAACCATGTGTGCTGATGCGGACTTATTTCTTTAACTAACATCCACATCTTTTTTTTTATTTTTTTATTTCATATTCTTCCTCTAAAGATGAAAGTTTTATAATTTCATTATTATCTCGTGTTGACGATGCAATTACATCCTCTAAAGTTTTCTTTGATCATTTAAGATATTAATGAACTTGCATTATCATCTCTTGTCAAACAATTCGTTTAAATTTCACTTTAAAACTAACAAAATCCAAATCCGAGTCCAAAATTTATGAAGCCTTAAACCACTCTGATATATAATATCACCATCTAATGAGCATGGAATCAAGATTACAACTTTTTTCCTTCTTTTTTTCCATTTCCTAGCATTGGACTTTGAAAGAATGTGCTTCATCATCGAGAAATCAAAGGAAATTGAAAGAATGTGTTTTTTTTAACAAAAAAATAAAGAAAGTTTTGGGAACTTTTCTTAATTTTTAAAAGAAAAATGTATAGTCATAATATCATATAGTATTTAACTACAAAATGATCAAAATTAGGAATGTAAATGAACAGAGCGTTCGGTGAACTATTCGTATTACATTCATTTGTTAGGCTAAATAAATGAGTGTGAAAAAAATTGTATGTTAATTTAATAAATGAATGAACACGAATAAAGGTATGTTTCATTCATTTATGTTCATGAAGAAGCTCATTTATGAGCTCGTTTATCGACTCGTTCATTTATGTTAATGAACAAGCTCATTTACCCGATTTCCCTTTTTATTTTATTTTTTACATTTTAAATATCGATGAAGCTAGGGATTAAATTGAACACGTGATAAAAATTGAATTTTAAAATATGAACTTTAAGGATTTTAAGCACTAGTAACATAATTTTATCATTTTTATTTACTTTGCAAATGAAAGAGTAAAACTAAAAAATATATAAACGAACATTAAACGAATATGTTCGTGAACACTAATGTACATTTGTGAACATATAAATGAACATGTTCACAAATATTAAATAAACAGACACGAACACCTCAAAAAAAATTAAACAAACATGAACATGATACTAAAATTTAAACGAACACAAATCGGACATGAATACCTTAAAAAATAAACAAACGAACACGAACATAACCTTATTCATTCAAACACGGTTCATTTACAGTTACATCCCTAATCAAAATATGAGTAATCTAAAAGTTTAGTTAATAAATCAAATAAAATAAACTTTAGTGAACAAAATAAGAGAAAAAAATTGATTGATGAAGTTTATAATTTGCCCAAAAAGGTCCAAATGTATTTGATTTTTAAAAAAAATATTAAATAATGTACTTTTTCATAATTGCATTCCCACAATTTGGTTTGGGAGTATTGCCTAATAACAATAATAGGAATGGTCACAGGTCGGGTTTCGATCAATCCGACATGAATCGACCCAAAAAATATACATATTCTATTTGATATTGACTCGACCTAAAATAATATATTTATTAAAAATATTATTCTTATTCAATAAAAATAGAGATTTCATTGAAAATTAATAATATATAAAGTTATTATTTGTAATTATCCCTAATTAGAACTCAATTTTAAAAAACCCGATCCGATTTTTAAATAGTAATATATTCTTAATCAATTGAAATTTTATCCTTAAATAGTGGGAATATTGTTCCCACTAATATATTAGTTATTGCACAATTCCTTCACTTTTGGATCATATTAGCCATAAGACAAAAAGTTATATTAATATGAATCATATGTTGTATTTTACGTGTAGTTCTTACTACGTTCGATTTTGATGTATAGTTGTCGATAGTTTTTTAGCAGTTTAATTTTTTGTTGTGGTTCGTTTGTCGACACAATCAAATTTATTCGTGTCTTATTTTATTCGAATTTCTTGAATCTGTTTTAACTTTTTCTTTGTATGATCTTTTTATGTTATTGAGTGGTGAGTTTATTCTCTCAATGGTTTTAAAAAATTCTAATTTTTGTATTTAGTTTATAAATTTTATTGCAATTTTGAATATTTTCTCTTTCTAATAAAACTAACAATTCTATGTACATAAAAAATATAATATAAATTTCTAATTTTATCCTCTAGTTTTGTTATCATTGGTAGAACTCTCTTTATTTAATTTCCACTCGTACATAAAATTTAGGCATAATGCAACAAAATACCCCTAATATTTGATAGTATTGTAAATTTTATCCATTTTTTCTTTGTATGATCTTTTTATGTTATTTTGTGTCAACTGACATGGCATGTCTAGGTCTTGGTAAATGATGATGTGGCACTACCAAATCATATTTTTTTTAAATACAAATAAAAAATATTATTATTAATATTTATATTAAATTATTTATTACCATTCAGAGAATGGCATGTGTCATTCTCCAATTGGTGTTGATTTAAAAGAATTATTAAAACATATTTTGCGTGGAAAATGACTCAAACATGGGGAAAGGTGTGAAATGCCATGCCTCTTACCACCAGTCCAAACTACTTACTTGGTTAAATAATGAAATAAACTCTATTTAATATGTAATTACATATGAATTTATTGAAAAAATTTAAACAGTTGTTTCAAGCCCTAATATATCTTCACATAATCTCATTTTCCCTATACACAATTATTTTCAAATTATTTTTTTCAAACCTTAATAAATCAAATCTTTTTCCCTTTCAATTCAATCTCCATTAAATTCGAATCAAGAAGGAATTTTGAATTGATTACACATTTCACATTTATAGAAGGTGAGTTCAATATTTTAAACTAAATCATAGAATATTTTGCTTATTTAGGATAAATTTAGATTTTTGTATGGGTTTGCTTAAATGTTTGGGTTTGTGTGTTTTTTTCTTCGAATTCTTTGTTATATGTTGTTAGATATGCGAGTTTTATAAATGGGTTATTCATAAACCTTCAATTTTATGAGATTTTATATTTTTTAATATACTTCGAATTGGGTTTTTTGTTTGAGTTTTCTTTTAGGGTATATGTTGGGTTTATTATTTGGGTTGCTACTAACGAATTGAAGTTGAAATTTACATTTTTATGCATATATGATTGGTGGGGAATGTATTTTGTTAGGGTATATATTGGACTAGTAACGCCCCGATTTTCGAGTTAGTAGTTTCAAGCTAACCCAAGAGATCATCCTTGATAACTTAATGGGTTAATAGGAGACCTTGGTCCATGTGTAAGATGAATTGGGCTTGGGTTAGGCCCAAGATGAAGTAAAAAGGCAATTTTGATTTGGGATTAAATAAGAAAGGACTAGAGTTATAAATTTCCCCAAAAGTCTTTTAAAGATCGAAAATCTTTAAAGAAGCTTATGTCACTGTGGGAATCACACCCTTTATTATTGTCTTCTTCATTCTTTCAAATACTATTCTTTTTCACTCTTGTAAGTTCCAAAGGTGAAAGTGTTACCATCCATTCTTGTTATACATCCACTCTTTCAAATACTTGTCCATATGTTTAGGATTATGTTCTTTCCAAAACATTTTAAATTGTTATGAAATTTTGTCGTGTTCGATCATAGCACCAATATATACCAAAAATGCCCCACACATATAACAGTTCCACCTTCAAAATATTTTTCTATTACATTTCGTGTCTTTCACATCTGAATTGTAGGACCTTTGCAGTAGTCATTTCTTCTTCAAAGTTCTCTTTGCATGAAGCTGAATGGTAAAATAATGAGATATCTTTTCACTCATCTTTTATGTGGCAACTTGTAAACATTTGGGTAATAAATTCTTTGAAGAGGTCAGGGTCGTCCTTATGACAGTAGCCACCATCGTGTATGACCTTGTTCTTTCCCTGACTATTCACGTAAGTAAGCAAAACACCACTAACTAGAAAATTGACAATGTCAGCATACCACAAAATTACAGAGACAAATAATAATTTCTCATTGGGGAATTTTTCCTTAATCTCCATTTCAATCTTTAATTCTTTCAAAATTTCTAGCCTAGATAGATGGGCAGTCACTTGAGGTTTAGGATGAGTAAATTCAATGAAATCTAAAGGTTCAAATTTCTTACATGGTCTAGCTATGAATAAGCTAGATTGACTCATCTCATTTGAAATATCCTCAGGCTCCACTTCATCTTCTTCATCGAGCTTCAAGTGATTATTAGTGCATAAAAATTTGTTGCGGCAAAATTCTACAACTTTCATTTGGTCATCAACTCCTATTGATGGGGGCTTTTCTTTTTCTGTGGTAATTTTTTTTGTCTTCATTGGTTGCACTCTTTGAACCCTTATCCTTATTTTCTATCGAATATGGTTCTTCTTGCATTTTTCTGGATCTTCGTGCATAACCTCATAACTGGCTCTCTGAGTGTCTCCCCCAAACTTAGTATCTTTGTAGATTTTGATGCCACTTCTTAAGGTGAATGTACTATAATGCCCCATGTCTTGAGCTTTAGTGACTTCAGTTCACTAGGTAGACTGCTTTGTGGGTGAGAATGTAATGCCGTGACAATTTGGCCAACCTAACCCTCCAAGGCCCTCAAAGATGAGCTATGGCTTTGAAGCAAAGCTCATTGAATGTGTAATAAGGCTTCTTGGTTTTTTATGGTTGTAGCATGGTCTTACAGCATGGTCTTTGTGGTTGCTGTAAAATCTTGAATCATGGCCTCCAAATAACTTGTGTTGGATGAAATAGTACTCCTTGTTAGAATTATGCCATGGCATATTCGTTTG